GATCATTCAGATTGCTTTTGAAATAAGCTTACTAGTAGGACTGAAAATTTGCTTAAAAGTAATTACAACGGAAATGTAACTTTTAGGAATAGGGCACAAGTTGTTGGCACAAAATATAAAAAGAGCTGCAAATCAAATTCCATGAGGTCATTATTTAAATGCTGATTGGTGACCTAAGGACACAGACAGAATTAGCTTTTGATGTCACCATAATAGATTAATTCAGGGATCACATTTAATACATAATAACGCAAGGATAACATATCATAGTTAAAAATTCAGATACCACATCTGATTTCTTCTATTTAGGATAATGTGTAAAATTGTGGTATGTGAAAGTATAAGAATGTAATATCATTTTTCAATAGGTGTTCATGACTTGATTTTGTGTATCAGAAAAAGCCCACTTTGAGTGACATATCTTTCCCTGATAATCTGGATTTCAGGGATAAAATATGAGCTATAACTGGTCAGAAAGCAGGATTATATAAAGACCTAAGAAATGTGGGATGCTCTTGCCTTTGACTCTCTTCATATACTTCCAGGTGTTCATTCAAATTATATGCCTGTTTGCACACACACACTCACACACACACACACACACACACACTCACACATGCTTCCAAACACAGTCTATGTCTTTGTGTTTTAATTTTTTAACAAGCTAATGTTAGGTAAAATTTGATTGAAAAGTTACCATGATAATGTTATTCTCACCTTGTTCTTGCTACTAGTTAATATATCTATTATGTCTTCCTCTTATGCAATAGAGCAATGATACACAAATCACCGTCCACCTCTTCCATCTCTAAATGTGTTTCTGTATCTAGATGATCTGTGTCACATAGTAGTAAGAAACAAATATTCAGTGTCTAAGAAAGAAAGCGGGCTCATACTAGAGGAATATACACTATTAAGACACTTGAAATGAGATCATCTGATGCTCTTTTTGTTTATCTGTATTCTTACTTTTAAATGTGCTGAAATCAGAAATGCTTAGCTATTTGAAGGTCTTACTGCATGGAGAAGAGACCCACCCAGACAGGAAAACAGCCAGCTGGAATCTCTGATGCAGCTGATCTCTGGAAAGGAATTAAGAAGTTACCACCTTGCATCATCTGCTTCCAGACTCTTCTTTTCTTGGCTTTTCTTAGAACTGAGTTGATCCCAGGTTGATATTTTGACCTGGTCCCTAGAGGAAGGCCATTACATTTCTCATGGCCAATCTCGAGTTTGTGAAGGAAAGGTTCTCATTGCTTAACATTGCACGGCCTGAATGCAATTATCTACATCATGGGAAGCTGTTTCCAAAGAACAAAGTTTTATAAGGGAAAGCTGTGGGTCAATGCTATAAGCAGATAGACCTGAGAAAACTTCAAATCTGGAAGAAAACAAAAAGCAGGAGACATAGGCTACATGTAGAATAAGAAAACAAAAGATTTATTGTTGCTTTTGTCCAACCTGTTGCCTATGGCCAATTTTATAGCAGAATGAATAAAAACACTATTTATCTTGAAAATATGTCACTAGAGCTATCAGTTATGTGCTCCTGGCAACTACTACTATATTACTAAATTTATCTAAAAATGTTATAGCACTTTGAAGTTTCAAGAGTAAGTGGGAGTTAAAAACAGTTGTATTTCTTCTTTCCTTTTCACATCCTTGGTTATTCATTTTATGATACCAGTTTTAAAACACACTTTGTAGTGGAAATGATGGAAGTCAAATGCCATTGAATAGTTGCCAGCATTGGAGATAATTTCTGACATTTTGGACCAACAATGAAGTCAGCCAAAGATTTTTTTTTCATGGAATCTGCCATGAATTGTTCAAGTTCTTTCAAGTGTATTATACAATTGTCAATATATTGAGCTTGTGTTTTCTCAAACTGTTTGTTCTGAGATTGATAGTCCTTTTTTAGAATAAATTTTTTAGTAGAATTGTCCTAAGAAGCTGACAAATTGGACTATGTAGAAGGTATTTTGTTTTTGTATTTATTCTTCTCTCATACAGTGCATTCTGAAGTCAGCCTCCCCGTCCTCTCCTCCTCTCAAGTCCTCCGTCTATCTCCTCACTCTCCCAGGTCCACTGCTCCTCCGTTTCCCCTCAGGAAAATATCAGCCCTCCCACTGATATGAACCAGCTACTGCATAACAAGTTACAATAAGATCATATTTGAACAAGTGTCTTTGTGGTAGGATGAATGGTCTTTTTGGTATACGCTCAAAAGTGGTATATTTGGGTCATGAAGTAGATAGGTCCCCAATTTTCTGAAAAACCACCGTGCAGATTTCCATAGCGATTGTACAAGTCTGCACTCCTATCACCAAGAGAGGAGTGTTCCTCTTGCTGCATATCCTCAGCAGCATGAATTGTCACTTGTGTTGTTTATCTTAGCCATTCTGACAAGTGTAGATGGAATCTCAAAGTAAATTTGATTTGCATTTCCCTGATTATTAAGGATGTTGAACATTTCTTCAACTGTTTCTCAGCCCTTGAGATTCCTCTATTGAGGATTCTCTGTTTAGATCTGTGTCCCTTTTTTTCCCACTGGATTGTCTGCTTTGTTGATGTCTAGTTTCTTGAGTTGTATATATGTGTTCAGTATTAGCCCTTTGCCAGATGTGGATTTGGTGAAAATCTTTTCCCATTCTGTTGATTGCTGTTTTGTCTTGTCCTATTGATGACATTTAAAACAGAAGTTTTTCAGTTCCATGAGGTCTCATTTATTAATTGTGGAACTTGGTGATTGTGCAATTGGTGTTCTGTTTAGGAAGATTTCTGTGGGCCAATACATTTACGGTTATTCACCACGTTTTCCTCTATCAGGCTCAGTGTGTTTGTTTTTCTGTTGAGCTCTTTGCTAAACATGGCTTCAGTTTTGTGTCCAGGGATAGATACGGATCTGTTTTCATTCTTCTATGTGCAGACATCCAATTAGACCAGCACTGTTTGTTAAAGATTCTTTTTTTTTTTTTTCGTTGTGTATTTCTGGCTTCTTTATCAAAAAGCAGGTGTCCATAGGTGTGCGGAATTGCATCCGGGTCTTCAGTTTGACTCCACTGAAGCACTTCTCTGCTTTTATTTCAATACCATGAGGTATTATTGCTACAATGCTGTAGGATAACTTGGAATCGGGGATGGTGAAACCTCTGGAAGTTCATTATTCAGGATTGTTTTAGCTATTCTGTTTTTTCTTCCTTTCATATAAAATTGAGTATTGTGCTTTCAAGATCTGTAAAGAATTATTGGAATTTTGATGGGGATTGCATTGAATCTGTAAGTTGCTTTTGGTAGGATGTCCAGTTGTACTGTGTTAATTCTACTGATCCATGAGCATGGGAGATCTTTCTATCTTCTGATATCTTCTTTAATTTCTTTTTTCAAAGACTTGAACTTTTTGTCATGCAAGTCTTTCACTTGTTTGGTTAGGGTTATGCTAAGATATTTTATATTGTTTGAGCCTATTGTGTAGGGTGTTGTTTCCCCATTTTCTTTCACAGTCCATTTGTCATTTGCATATAGTAGTGTTATTCCTTATTTTTAGCTAATCTTGTGTCCAGCCACATTGCTGCTGATGTTTATCAGATGAAGGAGTTCCCTGGAAGAGTTTTGGGGGTCTTTTACGTATGCTGTCACATCATCTGCTAATAACAGTACATGGAATTCTTCATTTCCTATTTATATCCCCTAACTTTTTCTCAGTTGCCTTATTGTTCTCTGACTGAGAGTGAAAGTAGCAAATATATGTATTTATATATACATTTATTTAATATATGCTGTATATTTACACATTTAGAAGTCAGTTTGATGCTGTATCAATTTAGCAAGACTGCTGTAGTGAGCTCCCCCTTCACACCTGTGATGCCAAGAACAAGGTTTTTACGGGGTTTACAGTACTAGGTATGTCTTCCCACCTGTTTGGAGGCACTGGAATCCACATATACTACATTATTAAAACTTACATCCTCCAAGAAGTGGAATTATTATATTTATGTTATTAATTTTGTTGCCACATTTTACTCAAAATATGTTTTGTAGTTATGTAATACATGTAGAATACAGTTTATACCTTCATTTCTTCATGTCAGTTATTTAACTTGAGCTGCAGAGATATCTGTTTTCTGCATTTTATCCATTAATTGCTCATTTGCATTTCAATTTATCTACTTTTAGTTATCTATTTTTAATTTATTTTATTTAATGAGTATGAGTGTCTTTCCTTCATACACAAATTTGTAACAAGTGAATGCCTCCTGCCCACAGAGGCAAAAAAAAGGTGTCAAATTCCCCAGAACTGAAGTTTCGGGTGGTTGTGATCCATGATGTTTATGATAGTAACTAAGCTCAGATCTTTTCCAAAAGTAACAAATGCTCAGAACCAGTGAGCCATCTTTCTAATCCCTGAAGTTATAAACAGATCATTCACACATGCGCGCGCACATGCGCGCGCACAGACACACACACACACACACACACACACACACACACACACACAGCCAAACAGTGCAATAAATAGTAAATATGTTCACTACAAAGCCACAGAGTATAAAGGTTATAATGAGACAAAATGCAAATAGTACTTTCTGATGGCAATGATTAAATTAGAAGTATAAAATAAATTATTTAGAAAGCAATAAAAATCTCAATAAGTTATTATTAGCATAATAACCACAGTATTGATCCTAAGAAATTTTAATTTACTTTTTATTATTTTAATTGAATAAGGATGAAAATTCATTATGAATACAACATAATCAACAATTAAAACAAAACCATATATGAAATGAATATATTAAAACATGAACTTGAGCAATCAGTCAATACCTAACGGTTTCATTTTTAATCAAAACTACATGTCCCGTAGATTAAACCTAATTAAAACAAAGAAATATTTGTTCCCGTGAGTACAGTGAGCAGAGAGCACAAACCTTTGCCATCTCTTGCAAGTAATAGCCTTTCTGCAAGGCAGTAAGAAGTGTCTGGCAGATCACTGCTGCTCACTGCTGACGTCCACGATTCAGAAAAAACATCTGTGCCACCCGCTTACGAATGACCATGTTTTTTACACCGTAGACAATAGGATTGAGAGCAGGGGGCAAGAGGAGGTAGATTGTTGACAGAAGAATGTGAGTTGACGGTACAACATGACCAAAACGGTGACTGAAAAAGGAGAAAAAGGCAAGAATATAAAACTCTAGAAAAACAAAAATATGAGCTGTGCAGGTGTTAAAGGCTTTGAGCCGTGCCTCCTTCCGTTGAAGTTGAAAAACAGCCTGGAAAATCAGTGCATATGATATGAGGATAAAAATCATGTCAAACCCTAGAATGCTAAACCCCACAAATAGACCACATATTTTATTGACCTGCACGTCGTCTGCTGCAAGCTTCACCACGGCCATGTGTTCACAGTAAGAGTGGGCAATTTGAATGGAATGGAATAGATGTAGCCTTTTGATTAGAATGGGTAACAGAGCTACAAGCACGACGGCTCGAATCGCCAGCACCACTATCATATGGCCCAGAACTGAAGGGGTAAGGATAGAGGTGTGCCTCAGAGGGTCACAGATTGCGATGTAGCGATCAAAAGCCATTGCCAAGACAATACCAGACTCTATACACTGCAGGGTGTGGATGAAGAACAGCTGGGCCAGGCAGGCATCAAAGGCCATGGAATAAGCCCGGAACCAAAAGATGGCCAACATTTTGGGGGCAATGGCTGCACAGAGTCCTATGTCTGTAGCTGCCAGCACAGCCAGGAAGATATACATGGGCTGGTGCAAGCTACGCTCAGCTGGGATGATGATCAATAAAATGATATTTCCCAAAAGAGCCACTAGACACACCGCAAAGAACGGAAATCCAATCCAAAACTGTACGTGCTCTAGTCCAGGAATCCCAATCAAAATCACAGTACTAGGGTTCAGATATGACCCGTTGGGTTTCACCGAGCTCAGCATTCTGTCTTCTTATCACCGATCATGATACCTGAAAAAAATATTATGAGAAAAGTGAAAATATTTAAGTCTTTAATTAAGCTCACTCTTTGTCAGACTAGCATTCAACCCCAGTGTATTTTTTAGCACATATTATGGTGTTCAGTTGGCATGAAAGGTTTGTGGTGCTTGTCATGATAGCAGAAGCAAACATTCACTTGAAGCCGTCTGTAATGCCACGAAAGAGGTAAAACTGAAAGTGTCGAGGTTTCTGATCTCTTTTGTACATGCAAAGACACCTGTGAGAGCACTGTTCTTCCTCTTCTTGACCTTCAGACTTGTTTGCTTGAAACATTCCATTATCTGTCCTTTCTTTATTCTTGCAGCCACCCCTTATTCATCAAACTGAGAAATTCTTCGGCGAATTTGTGATTTTAGAGGAGACCTCCTTTTATCTGATCCATGATCCCATGACAGCCTTAACTATGAGCCACCCTGACTCTCAGAAAGTATTAATTCTGATCACTGTCATCTGTTCTCAAGGAAATTGTGGACAGATTTTTAATCATCTTAGAAACAGTCTTCATTTCATCAAGATATGGAACAAGTTGTTGCTTCTCAGGGTGATGGTAAAAGAGAAGGGTAAATTACAGTGTTTCTTTAATGGACCAGAATTTGATTGTTCTTCAGTAGAACACTAGCAAGTAGAAAAAACATGTTTTCCTGAGTATATTTTTACATTCCAGTTTCAATGAAATTCAGGAAAAAAAAGTCAGACCTTATGGAGAACTAACGAGCAATCTTAATGTTTCTTAAACCAAGTCAACCTCACACTGCGTGCAGCCTGTGAGTAACTGTTGACTATTTCAATTGCATTTGGTAAATTGCCTGTGGATGTTTTTTCTTTTAACCCAAGTTGAAGTTATACTACCTGTTGTAGACAAGAGGCACTCTATAAGAGATCCTTGAAGACAAAGTATGCAGGATGCAAGAACCGTGTCTCCGCATGTTTTTAAAGTGGAAGTATTTGCTAAACCTCAGGAAAATATTCCAGGTAGTTTCCAACTAGGCCTTTTTTTCTTGTACAATAAGAATATTTTTTATTTGACAATAGGGATTTATCCAAAGTCACAGTGCCTTATTTTGAAGAACAAAATTTGGATCTCCTAGAGGTAGGCTCTTGACATAGAAAACATAAATTGTCATAAATGTCTTGCAGTTTGGCCTTTCAAGAATGTATGGACATTTTTGGAACTTCCCCTGCTGTCCAGTGCAAGTCATGCATCAACAGTCTTCCGGCGGTTCACTGCTGTGGAGTGGTTGGGGCTAGTGTGGACTTCGGTTATGAGTAGTCTGGTCTGAGGTCCCTGTGGAGGTACTGAAGTCCATAGCTGTATAAGGAAGACTTACAAGAAAGACCCAGATCAGAGTGCACATCCCTGGCAGGATCAAAGATGTTTTTATTCTGATTTACGATTTCCCTCTAGAGGAGATAGGCATTACTTCTGACCTAAAATTTCTCCTGTAGATGCTGGAAGCAGTAACTTAGAGCTTCTGGGAAGAGGTGGGGTTGTGGTGTCTTAGGTGCTTTAAGAACAAGGTGTGCCTCCCTCCCGAGCTATGTTCATCCACTGGGTTAGCTCTGAGGCACGGCAGGTGTGTGAGCCCAAGGCAATGCTGTTCCAGTCAGCACTTCAGGGGCTCCAAACTGAAATGGTCATTTATTCTTGTTCTAGTGACCGAACAGGTGCAGGGCTCCTATGAACGTGTTAGGAGTTTTTACTTCAGTTTTTTAATCGTATGGTAAGCTGGAACGTGATTATTTATACCATTATTTTGAGAGCCAAGTGAATGCTTATTAAAACATGGTAGCTAAATAATGGAACTCTATGTAAATGCATATGAATTAGGAAAATATTTTTCTAATTGTAAACTTTTGTGGAAAATGTTGCAATAGTTTGAGAATTACACTTGTTTTAAATCAAGTGTGAAAAACAGAATAAAGTTTGGGCTCAAAATGTAATTTAAGGTAAATACCAATTTTTTTTTAAATCTTTGGATGTAATGCACATTTTTATTTTGGTGGAAAAAGATCCAGTCATTTAGCAAAACCTTTTTATTCCTTTAATTACAGTTTTATTAATTACTCAAAAAATTATAATTTTTCTCAAGTCTTTTTTTATATAAATGCTAACCCCATTATATATAAATGCTAGCTCCTATTTCTTGGTACTTAATAACAACATTAGTGAATGAACTGTGGTCAAAACAGTTGTATCAGTTACATCGACAAATGTTTGTGGAAAGCATTTTACTTTGTTTTTTGCATATGGTATTTGAGGGAAGCATGGTGACAGAAATGCTAAAGGAGCTACACACTGTTTCTGACACTGATTTGATGTACCAGAAATTATAAAAGCTTCTTTTGTTATTTGATAATTACTTAACAGTATAAAGGCAAATGTACTGTGCTTCACCCACTCT